GAACCTCTATACTATTTATGCTGTTTTTCTTCTATCCACCCTCAAGTCACAGGTCCTGCTATGTAACAGGATAATCCTTTTCCAGACAGGTACTTGCCAAAGCAGTTACCTTTGGCTAGGAGAAAATATCACTAGTCACTTAAGTGGCCAGCAAAGCCTATCAAAGTAGTTACAGAATGTACCAACTGCTCTATCTGAACCAAAATCACCGATGATATTCCTTACTTCCATTACCTAAGGAGCAAGGCAGCCACACTAATCAAATCTGAATGGCAGTGTAAAACCCAGGCCACTGAGGATTTGCCTTCAAACAAATCCTGTTGCTAAACTATTTCCTCAGTACCAGCTTTAATTCTGTATTTAAAGTAGTTACTTTCACAGAGCACAAATCCCAACTATTATAGTTTTATGGTTTAAATAGACCTCTGTAAGACACTGCATTTCTGGATCAAAACAGGGCCACTGTAACATTTTAGTTTCACCACTACAGAAATGCAATTTATACATTCATAGTAAATATGGATAAAGCTATGCTCCCCTTTATATGCTCTAATCTAGTTAACATATTATGGTGATAATACAATATAAGTAACTAAACATTCAAGTTTACCCTGAGTTTTTTGTTCAAGTAATCTTCTCCTTTCATCCATGTCTTTTTCTGGAATGCCCTCCATACCATAGATTTCCAGTTCAATATCTGTTCTTCCAGGAATAGCATTTGGAACTGCATCTATTGTTTCTTTATGCACCTAAACCAAAAAAGTTAGATTCCTTTACTGCAATCAGCTAAGATTTTTGTGACTGATAACATTACTTCTACAGGCAGTGTCAAATCTTACAGATTATTCTGTTAAGGCTATTCACTTTGTCACCTTGACTCAAACCCATAACAAATGCACATATGTTTAGTTCAATAATTATTTTCTTTTTAAAATCTGTAACTAACATCTACTGGTAATGTCTGTCCCAAACAGCTGCAATTTGTGTTGGTCCCTACATGAAAGCGTTTTGAGCTATTTGTTCCATTACATTTATAATACACTGAACACTTTTTACTCTGTATCAGATTGCGCAATAACCTAACGGGGGGGGGGGGGGGGAAGAGATGTGTCTGGTCATACTTTCGCAAGGAAGAGAAGTGTCTTTTAAACTAAGGGATGCTGCTAAAGAGGGGCACATGCTACTGTACCTTATTCACAGTTTAGCTTAGATAAGAAAGACATGGTTTATCCCCCCCCCCTTTTTAATACTACTTTAACTGTCTATGTAATTACATCCTCATGAGGAAAAATTTTAGTCTTAGGCTTGGTCTACACTTAAAAGTTAGGTTGACATAGCTACATCTGTCAGGAATGTGAAAAAAACCACATCCCAGACTGACACAGTTATGTCGACTTACCCCCAGTGTAGACGCAGCTACGTTGATGACTACCATCATTTGGAGACTTGGTATTCCTAGACGGATGGAAAAACCTTTCAGTCAGCACAGGCTGTGTCTACACTATGGAATCATGCCAGCATTATGCAATGTAGCCATACTGGTATAGTCTGTAGTTTAAACATATCCAAGAATAGGTTCAGACTAAGAAGTGCATTTTCCCTTGTCGATATAAACTACAAAGATGTTAAAACCATTTTAGAAACTTGTTTTCTGGAATTAAAACTAACTAATACATCCTCCCCAACGTCAAGTGTGACTGAAAGGCCAAGATGATATATCTAATCTATATGCTACCATGTACATTTGTGACAGCATTATTAAAACCAGGGAGTTTATAAAAAGGGGTGTATGTTCTTGTATTAGAAATAGAGAAGAGAGACATCAGTGTTTCCTAAACAGGCAACTGTAGCAAAGTTTTGAGATTCTAGCAGTAATAAACAAGTAATCTTAAAAATGTTTTTAATGCAGTATCACTCTAGGGACAAACTGAACTTGAGGCAAGTTACGCATATATTTTAAAAAAGCCTTACCTGCATACAATGTATAGCTAAACCGGGTCCTGTATACAGTTTCTTATGACATATATGGCATTTAAAGTGCTTTGCTTTTTGATGCTGTATAAGGATTTTCTCATCATCAAAATCCCTGTTGCAATACCTATTCAAGATGATTAAGGACATTCTGAAGCTTTAAGATTTTTGTATGAAGCAGCTTAAAGGAATAGCAAAGGGCACAAAACCTGGGGAGATGGATCAAGTGTAATACAATTCTGCCAGAAGATAGATTTAAAACAGTGGCTAGGAGACCATATTTATGGCTGCAGCAAATTGAACTGATCTTTAATGCTGCCTTCAGAGCAGCAGTCAAACCTTTAGGACACTGAGGGAAGCACCAAGTCTCATTAAATGCCAAGGTTTCTCTGACTGTTGTCTGAAGTGTAGTTATAAGCTTTCGTGGGTAAAAACCTCACTTCTTCAGATGCATAGAGTGAAAGTTACAGATGCAGGCATTATATACTGACACACGGAGAGCAGGAAGTTACTTGTGTCAGTATATAATGCCTGTATCTGTAACTTTCACTCTATGCATCTGAAGAAGTGAGGTTTTTACCCACGAAAGCTTATGCCCAAATAAATCTGTTAGTCTTTAAGGTGCCACCAGACTCCTTGTTGTTTTTGTAGATACAGACTAACACAGCTACCCCCGGTACTTGAAGTATAGTTGTAGCTCTGTTGGTCCCAGCATATTAGCCACACAAGGCGGGCGAGGTCTCTCTAAAGTTTCTGAGGCAGTTTTACCGCCTCTCCCGCCAGGGATGAAGATCCCCCCTCCCCCCATCTCCACAAATCCACCCTGTCCCAGCTAACAGCAGTTTGCTGCTGACACTGTCACCTATTCCTGCGGAGTCTCCTCCGCTCACCCACTACCCCGGGCTCGCTAGGAGCTCGGTGGCGCTGGCGGGGAGGAAATGGAGGGAATACCAGGAAACAAGCCCCAGCCGGCCGAAATTCCAAACCAGGCGGTCGGGAGGCAGACGGAGCAGGCCGCGTCCCGCCGGCGCGCGGAGAGGGGAGAAAGGGAGCGAAAAGCCCGAGCCCAGGCCGCCTCCTGGTGAGGGAAGGGAGGGAGAGCGCGGGGCGACTCCCGGTGAAGGAGAGGGGGAGGAGGGGGGGCGGAAGGAGAGCCCGAGTCGCGTGCGGAGGCAGTGAAAACGTGGAGGAGGGAGAAAGGGCGCGAGTGCGGCGCATCCCGGCCAAGAGATGGGGGATGGGTGGGAGCAGAGACTAGGCCACGTTCCGGGGTAACAGAGACCAGGCCGCGCTCTCCCCTTTACCGCCCCCCCTCCCCAGTCCCGGCCGGGAAGCCATCCCGTTTTGTGGCAAAGGATATCAGCACCAGGGCTTCAGCTGCTTCTTCTTCTTCCGACCCATCGCGGTGGCGCTACCGAACTAGAGAAAGGCGAGAAGCAGGCACCAGCCGCAAGCCTTCCAGCGGCCTCTCGGAGGAAGACAAAATGGCCGCCCCGCTCTCTCCTGCCGCCGCCTCCAAGCCCTGGGCTTCCCAGTATGCACCGCGGCAGCCGCGACGGGGCTGTCACGTGACATCCACCAGGCTCCCTCTGCCGCTGAGTCGCCTAACATGCCCCGCGATGGCCAAGGGCAGCCATTTTGTTCCAACCTCCTTTCCAGCCTAGCCTAGGGGCGTAGAACCCTCTGTCATGACCCCCCTGGCGGCCACAGGGAGCTGATAGGGGTGAGGAGGGAAGGGATTCGGATACCCACCAGCGAAGAGATTTAAGGTGCCCACAGGCTGGTTGGACAGGACAGACTGTGCCATTGTGATGTGGCGTCTGTGCCCCACTAGGCAACATCAGCAGGTTGCCTCCACACCCCAATTTGCTGAGGCAGAACAGCACTCCAAAACATCACCACAGCCTCATCGCATGGCATCACCGTGTCAGCCCGCCACAGCCAAAGCACAGTCCTTTCCCCTCAAAATCATCACAGTCCTCAGCGGTGTCCCAACCCCAACACGTCACGTCAGGCTGTTAACTAAAGGAAAACATCATCCCTTCCTCTCAAACGTCGGCACAGCATCACCACGTGGCTTCCCCAGGCCGACGCACTGTGTGGTGGCACTGAGGGAAAACGCCATTGCGTTCCCTCAAAATATCAACACCATGTCTTGTAGCATTACTGCACTGATGCACTGTGTCATGGCTCTAAGGCAAAACGGCAGGAATCTCATCCCCTCAAAACAAGGCCTAAGTGGCAAACTTGACCATTCCAACATGGAGACCAATGAATGAACTATAGAGACTGAACCATCATCGTCACCAAAAGAGGTGATCACACCAAACTTGTCCTTGAGGCATATTGGTTGGGCTGTTGGGAGAAGCTTGCATCACTGTTGGTCAATACCATAGTCACTCTAAGGATAAGCAGAGGATGTCATACCTATGGACATAAATTGTATTTTAAAATTCACATGTGAAATGGTAATTGACAAGATATGTTTTTTCTTTGCAAAAAAAATAACTTGCTTATAAAAGTATAGAAGAGATTTGAGGAATACAAATGAGGACTTTTATCCTCTGCTGTAAAATTTAGGGATTTTCCCACAAAGGATAAATTGATAGGGGTGGGGGGGATTTAAACAGCTTCAGAATGAATTTTAATTTTAAAATCGACCATGTAAACACATTCAGTAAAATCCTTCCTCCTAAGAAAGAGAGGGAGACTTCAAAAGATCCTAAATGAAAGATTCTCCCTCCAAACTGAATGAGGGCAAGTCTGGAATGGGGGAGAAATAGATTCAGAGCTGCCAACTTGGGACTCTTTAAGTGACAGAGATTTTCAGATTTGTGCTGAAATAGTAAATATCTCATGGGAATACACACAGCGACATCTTCCATCCCAATAGGGAGAGGCTGTGACACCAGCCCTACAATGCATCTGCCTTCCAGGAACTGAGAGAGCTGGAGCAATAGTTCTACGAAGCGGTGCTAGTGTGAAAGGCAGGAGAGGAAACAAGGGCAGCCGGAACCTGTGTTGTGGCGTGAGCGGAGCAGGAAGACGAGCACAGTACGGCAGGAGACTAGAGGGCGGATTTCGTTGCTACACACGAAGAGCTGCTGCGCTGGGGAAAGATGCTGCCGTCTCTGCAGGAGTCTGTGGATGGGGACGAGAGGGAGCTGGAGAGCAGCGAGGAAGGGGGCGGCCCGGCCGAGGAGCGGAGGCCGGAGCGGTTCAGTAATAGCTACTACTGTCTGTACGGCTACCAGGGCTACAGGTGAGGGGCTGGATAGATTCCGCCTCCCCAACCCGCTCCACAGTACCCAGCCTTCTGCTTCCCCCGCCCCCCTTTCCTAGGGACGTCCCGGCAGAGTCCAGTGACCTGCAGGTGCCATCTCCCTCCCCTCACACTGCTTCCTGCTGTCAACAGATGATGCAGCTGGAGGGGGGACAAGGGCAGGAGAGAGCGAGGCCATTGTTAGCTGCCTTTAATTCCGGGAATGGAGGGAGGAGAAGGGAGGGAATAGGATGCAGTGAGGATGGCTGAGACTTGTAAAGGATTGGAGTGTGGTTTCCAAATAAAGGGGAGTTAATCCATCTGGTTAATTACAGCTCCTACTCTGGTCCCAGTGGTCTTCATGGCAACAAAAGGGGAAGCGGTAGACGTGGTATATCTTGACTTTAGTAAAGCTTTTGATATTGTCTTGCATGACCTTCTCATAAACAAATTAGGGAAATGCAACCTAGATGGAGCTACTATAAGATAGGTGCAAAACTGGTTGGAAAACCGTTCCCAGAGAGTAGTTATCAGTGGTTCACAGTCATGCTGGAAGGGCATAACAAATGGGGTCCTGCAGGGATCAGTTCTGGGTCCAGTTCTGTTCGATATCTTCATCAATGATTTAGATAATGGCATAGACAGTACACTTATAAAGTTTGCAGATGATACCAAGCTGGGAGGGGTTAGAAGTGCTTTGGAGGATAGGATTAAAATTCAAAATGATCTGGAGAAATGGTCTGAAGTAAATAGGATGAAATTCAATAAGAACAAATGCAAAGTATTCCACTTAGGAAGGAACAATCAGTTGCACACATACAAAATGAGAAATGACTGACTAGGAAGAATTACTGCGGAAAGGGATCTGGGAGTTATAGTGGACCACAAGCTACATATAAGTCAACAATGTAACACTGTTGCAAAAAAAGTGAATATCATTCTGGGATGGAGGAGTATTGTAAGCAAGACACAAGAATTAATTCTCCTGCTGTACTCCGCTCTGATTAGGCCTCAACTGGAGTATTGTGTCCAGTTCTGGGTGCCACATTTCAGGAAAGATGTGGACATCTTGGAGAAAGTCCAGAAAAGAACAAGAAAAATGATTAAAAGGTCTAGAAAAAATGGCCTATGAGGGAAGATTGAAAAAATTGGGTTTGTTTAGTCTGGAAAAGAGAAGACTGAGAAGGGACATGATAACAGCTTTCAAGTACATAAAAGGTTGTTACAAGGAGGAGGGAGAAGAATTGTTCTCCTTAACCTCTAAGGATAGGACAAGAAGCAATGGGCTTAAATTGCAGCAAGGGAGGTTTAAGTTGGACATTAGGAAAAACTTCCTGTCAGGGTGGTTAAGCACTGGAATAAATTGCCTAGGGAGATCGTGGAATCTCCACCATTGGCGATTTCTAAGAGCAGGTTAGACAAACATTTGTCAGGAATGGTCTAGATCAGTGGTTCCCAAACTTGTTCCGCCGCTTGTGCAGGGAAAGCCCCTGTACGTCCCTTGGCCCGCGCCGCTTGCAGCAGCTCCCATTGGCCTGGAGCAGTGATTTTCTGATAGTGTGTGTGTTTCCACTGCTCTACCATGGCCTAGCTGAGTTTGATCTCTGGTTGAGTAGGACTTATTTGTGCAGGGTGAGGAGATGAAAAACAGAAAGATGAGTGGGACAATACCAGATTTTGGTGAGGAGTGGATTATTCTCACCCTTGCTTTGGCACCAGAACATATTGTGTTTTGGGGACAGTTCCAAATGCAGACTACTCATAAAGTGGGCATCTAGATAGGAAACTAAGGGATTCCAGGTAATGTTCTTGAAAGGTATATGATTGACAGCACTGAAGCAGGAGGTTTTCAGAGCACAGGCAACGGCCGTACTAGGCTTTCCTACATTGGTCTTCCTAAACTGAGAGGTGGGGAACCCATCCTTAGGTCTGAGAAGGATTTCACCCTCCCTATCTATTCAGTTCTTAGCTGCTGTACTCCATTTTTTGTCTCCCCTGGGATAGAGAATAACAAGTAATTTCTTCCCCTCCTCATCACCCCTTTAGTCCTCCACTCCATAATACTTTCAAAGGCTACTTCCACTCTGCACCATCCGCACAATGCTTCTTTCTCCTCTGCCCTGTTTAGTGATAATAGACCTGTATACATGTTGTGTGTCATATTTAATGTCAGTCATAAAAATGCCTTGATTTTCAGTTCATCAGAGCAGGCTGCTGACAGTGATGATGGAAGTCCGAGCAGTGCAACACCAGAAACTCCCTCTGCTGAAGACTTTAGGTAAAACAAACACGGCAGAACCACTTACCCTGATTTCTCATTCAGTTTCTAATTCAGAGCTTTTGACATCTTCGTATTTGGGTAGATACAGAAAGGAATACAGAGTTAGATAATACATTCTGCATCAGAAATACAAATCCCTCTGAAAGCCATATTGAATTCACCTGGGCATTTTTTTCTGGTGTTTTTTTTTTTTTTCTATTAAACAGCAAGATGATAATGGACACATACACCAAATAGAATTTCTGAGTTGGGTGAGTGGAGGCTTAGAATAATAGACCAATGCAAATTATACTCCTCGGGTTCACACTCATTTCTTTTATACTACTACTAATTCTTAGCGTATCTACATAATTTTAGGTCTTTGAGTATAAATAATTAACGACTCATTGGAGCAGGGGAACAGGACCTGGGGTCTCCCCTCACACCCCTACTCCAATGTCTTATTTCTAATACAGTGGAATAGCTTCAACAGGAGAGACTGAAAGAGCCTCACATCAGAATATCCCATAGCCCAATGGTTAGAGCACTTTCCTGAAAGGTTTAGGAGACCCCTCTTCAAATCCTTTCCCTCCCTCAATCAGAGGGGGAATTGAACCTGGGTCTCCCATGTCCCAGGTGAGCGCTCAAACCAGTGGGATAAAAGTTATCAGGTGGGCACTACAACCACCTCCTCCTCCAGCCATTTTGTGTGGAGTTAGGTATCTATCTATGCCAGTCTCACAAGAAACACCTTAGGTGCCCAAACTAAAGGAGAGGGGTTCCCAGTTATGAGTCACTAGAAGAGATAGGTGTCTGTCTCCCTAAGAAGCCTCCCTGCAGCCTGGATTTAAGCACTTATTTCCCTTAGAGGGGCAGAGCTTAGGATACATCCCTTCCTTGGCTTCCCCCAAGGGCTAGCTTAGGTGGCTCCTCACCTAGCATGCTGGCTTTTGTGAATTACATTCTAAGGTGCCTATCTCGCCCCATTCTTTGGTTAGGGAGCTTCGGCTAACTCAGGCTTTTTGAATTGCAGTGTTATTTCTGTAATTTTGTAGGCACCTAAAAGTTATGCGCCGTGATGCTTGTTGTCACAATGCCCAAGTCCCTTTGTGAATCCGGGCCTAAGCGACCTGCTATTGAGTAAATCTGTGTCAATTGATATTAGAATTAAAGAATCCCAATTTAGTGAACAAGACACTGAATACATTTCTGACTTGCCACAGGTCAGATAATGTGTTAGAGGCAGTGCCAGGAACAGATTCCAGGAGTCCTAACTCAGACACTGCTATAACCATAAGGAAGCACTCCTCCCCACATGACATCTGTGGAGTCGGGCATATGCCCAGCTAGAGAATTAAAATAGTTTACTCTTCTTCTCACTAAGAATTTTATCTTGTTTTCAAAGCCTCTCCTTGGTGGATACTAACTTACCAGCTGAAGCAGAGACAGAATTACGCAGTTTTATTGCTAAGCGTTTTATTAAAGGAGCACTTTTTGAGGGGATGGGTAATGTTGCATCTGTGGAGTTGAGGTAAGAGTAAAATGTACTGTTTTGAATTTGTGATAAACATGGGAAGTGATAAGAAATGCTGGCAGTCTCACTAAGTTTACCATCTGCTGCTGCATATGAGTTTAATCCTGATTGCAGCTAATCAGCCTGTCAAAGCATATGTAAGGCTCTCAGTTTAGTTATGTGCTAGTAGCATTTGCCTTAGATTTCCTTTAGGTGGCAGTGAAAAACTGCAAACACATTAAATAGTGATAAATTAGTTTTGATCAGGTTGTTCTGATCACACTTTCTGTGCAGTTAACAAGGAGGAAAAGATCTAGGAAGATTGTATATGTGATGCTATGTGCAGGTTGTATTGGGGGTTAGCAGGTGTAAAACACACACACACAACATATTTTAGTTGACGCTCACTCCTTTACACATGGCCTTTATTTCTAAAGTCAGTTTATCTTTTGTAGCCTTGTTAGAAAATATGAACAATTGTTGTTTTTTTTTTTTTTTTTAAAGAGGTTTTAAATAGGATAATTAAAACTTGCATTTATTTCTGGGATGTACCTCAGTCAAAGGTAATCAGAATGATATTCTGTCCTGATCCCAAAAGAATACTCTTGCTTTCAGAACAGTAATTATTTTGATCAAGGTGAAAAACCATAGAGATTCAAAATCCTAATCTTAATCATTATCTGATTATTCACAAATTTATTTAAAATGTAGGATAGGAAATTTTGACCCAATTGAAGTCAATGGCAAAACTTCCATTGACTTTAGGAGAGTCAGGATTTCACCTATTGTCAGTGGCTGGTTAAATTCTAATGTGAGATACAAAATCAGATTCAGTTAGAACAATCATTACTTTATTTGGCACATCTGCATCTGATTAATTCAACTTTTTTTTCCTGTCTCTAGCATACCAGAATTTCGAGTTGGTTGTTATTACTGTCTTCTCCAACAAGAAAAGCTTCTAGAAACAGCAACAGTGGAATCAAACATCAGCCCTCCAGAGTATGTAACTTGTTTCTTAGGAGGCTCAGAGAAAGGGCTCGAGCTATATCCTTTCCTTAACCTCTCTTTATGTGGGTGTAGGGAAAGAGCATATGAAAATAATAGGTAGCGTGTTTACCCCATTAACTTTGAAACCTTTTCCAGATCTGCTGCCAATTCCTTGAATTCATTGACTACTAGCCTACTTGTACACATCTTCCAGAGTATATCTGAAAATGTGATTACCTACTATATACTAAATGGGCAAAGCGCAAGTCTCAATTTACATATCTTATTTCCTTAAGAGGATACTTTCAGACTTGAGTTGGACATGTATGTTCAAGGCCTGAAGACTAACCTTGATTCAGAGGTAAGATCTAATTCTATGACTGAATTTTTTGTAAATGGTAAAGATGACATTTTATGAATTGTTAACCTGATTTTATCGGGCTGATTTGTTATAGGCTCGCCAATGATCTGAGCAGAAGATACTTAGGTTCTTGTCAAATCAGGCTACAGAATTAGAGAATGTAGAGAGTTCAATACTTTGTCCAGACTCTCAGGGTGTGCAGCAAGGGCACTCACACTGAGAACACAACCCATGTTCTTGTGGTGTACCTTGTGGTTACCGGTACGTCCCAGAATTTTGGTAAACACATTCAGTTCTCCGTTCACTTCCCCAAAGTCGAAAGGGTAACCGGTAGGCCATTTATCTATCCCAAAGGTTATAAACACTTATGCTAACTTGCTCTAGCTAATCATACAGGATACAGGCCTGTAGGTTCCTTGCATTACAGCCTGTAGGTTCCTTGCATTACAGCCAAATATAACGAAATAATATCTACTGAACTATAAACCAAAATAATATAATCAAACTAATAAAGAAAAACAGATTATATAATATAGCAAGCTGGCAGGCTAGCCCCATGGGCTACAGAATAAGGATTGATTACTCTGACAAAAAGTTAGTACAGTACATGAAAGACCAACATAAACAGGAGGAAATGAGCAACTGTCTATACAGTGAAACAAGTGCATACACTAAGTGCTGCCCACCATACAAGTTAAACAAATGGAAACATCAGACTTTCTTTCCCAAGCACAGTAATCTTAAGGGTTACCTGTGACACTAATAGGTAAATTCAGACAGAAGTGTGAATAAATTGACTAAATCCCTTTAAGAAATTATAATAGCATATGGAAAGGTTAGCAATGAGCATTCAGTCCCCTAACTTTTCTAAGCAGTGGTGACAGGTTGATTTGTATTTTATGTGAATAAACTTGGGGGGTGGGGGGAAGTTCAGGGAATGGAACCCAGGTTCTGACTCCCAGTCCTGTACCCTATCTACTGGACTACACTGCTTGCCTGATACATGTCAGAATAGATTACAAATATAACATGTCATCATCTTGCAGAATATAAAGGCTTTCAGAGCCGGTGTTTCATGTCAGTAACAGTTAAGATGCCAAGCTAATGATTTTAGCTGATTATACTTCAAAATTAGGAAGGAATTGACATCCAAATTGCATAGTTGGAATGGGTTAGCAATATGCTTATTTTTATACCAGAATCAAAGCTTTAATGTTTCAATTTGCTACAGAAAAGTAACCTGGAGACTTATATTAAACCCTACCTAAGAAGTTGGTTTGAGGACTCTGTATGCCCTATCCAGAGGGTAGTGCAGCTCTTCCAGGAGAAACTCGCCTTTTTATTACATGCTGTAAGTATACATCAAACTAAAACATCTTCTGAACATTTTCTAGTCAACTCAGTGATCCTGTTATATTGTAAATGTAGCTCGTATTTGGCTTTTCCATTCTCCCTGAACTGAATGAAGAAAACCTCCCCCTTTAGTCAATACAAGTGATTTTTCTCAGCTATATTACTAAGCCAGTACCAGCTATTTCATTCACTAAAATTAATAATTTTATAGCTGACTTATTTTAAAATTGAATGCTTAGTATTCAACTTATAATTAGAATGAGATAGGCAATAAAAATTCCATTTTGCTCAGACTAGGACAAGAACAGCTAAGTGTCTATGAAATTCATTGTAGAAAGATGCTGAGAACAAAAAAATAAGATGAGTCATATACTGCTAGACAATGAAAATGAGACGGATGTGGGCAGAATGGTTAATAGAAGTACAAACTAGTGTACTTTTCAAAATGTATAAATAGTTGTAATGAATATACTGTAGTCTGGAGCACTTATCTAGCTTCTGGTACTTACTAGACTATTTGGAAAAGAACTTAACTAAGATCACTTGTTACTCTTTGCTAGTAATAATAATAATGAAAATAGTAACAGAAGTAAAGTGTATACAGCCAACAGCAATCAAATTGTGTGGTTTTTTTAAAGGCTTTGAGTTACACTCCTGTTGAAGTTAAAAATTCAGATGAAAGAACAAAGAAAGATATTCACAGGTAAAGAATATTACACGTAAACAGAGACAATATAGCCTATAAGTTGCTTGGCTTATTGTATGATCCCTTTCCTGGTTTTGCTGTTTGGGTGGAAACTAGCAGTTCACAATAGTTTTGTATGTCAGGTTTCTGAGTGCTGCCAGTCTCCAAGGTCTCATTCAGGAAGGTACAATGACCTCCTTGTGTATAGCCATGACTGAGGAACAGCACAGATCGGTGGTAATAGACTGTAGTGGACCACAGCCTCAGTTCCATAATGCAGGTGAGATCATGGATGGGGATGTTTCCATCAACTTATCCAGCTCATCTTTAGAGAAGGCTCAGCACTTACAGGATCATACCCAGAAAGTTTTGGGACCTGGCTATCTTGAGAACACCTTTCTTCCCATTTGATATCACGCCATATATGATCCACAGAGGCACTTGATCTCTGGTTTAAAAGTGAGAGGTCCTAGAGTCTGGAATTTAATCAGCTCTATGATCTACCAAAACTCAGATTAGTTAAGCTTCAGATCAATCCGCAGAGCTCACTTTTTCTGTCAGGCTTTTGATGAGTGGTATATAGAGGGATGTGGATGGATAGATAATTATAGTTATTTTGGGCAAGTATAATTCTGTTTGATTGGACAGTTTGCTGTAGATTTTAACCTTGTTTGTAGTTTTAAAAGCACCTGGAGCTTTGGGAAAGATGTTTCAAAGAAACTGAAAACAAAATCTATTTTCCTGGCATACTAGTTAAAATAGCAAGAAAGGGGGATTAGTTACGTTTTCTTTTGTTTTCTCATACACATTCTATCCATCTTTTTATGCTTTTGAATATTTATATCATAGGGCAAACATTACTGGTGTTAATTACAATTATTGTGTGAGTGAGATTAAGTACACAGTCACATACATGTGGGTTATGCAGTGCTCTAATGCGCACGCACACATACACTTTTTCTTTACCTCCTTTTCTTTGTTCCTAAACGTGTGACAGGAAGCAACAAATTCTGTGACGACTGGATGCAGGCTTTTCTAAATGGTGCTGAAGGTGGAAATCCATTTCTCTTCCGGCAAATAGTGGAGAACTTTAAATTGAAGGTAACTTTGTATACTTGTATGCTTGCAGGAGACAGAAGGGTTACTGAGTATGCAAATAGTCACTTTTGCATTGATATAGCGATAACTGAGAGCTTGCCTAGTTCTTGCTGTACTCCGAGTGGACAAGAACAGAATATCCTCTAAAGGAGACACAGACAGATTTAGAAACCAACTTATTTTTTTCTTAAAACAACCTAACTTTAAAATTACAATAGAAACTCCCATCAAGAGTTGTAGCTAACTGATTTGTCTACTAATGTATGTAATAAAATTCTTACTGCAGACTCTTCCACTTCTCCAAATTCATGTATTGGCATACCTTCCCTACAGATAAAAGGATGAGGAATATTTTCTGTTACTGTGTTTATAGGCCATACAAGACACTAACAACCTGAAGAGGTTTATTCGTCAGGCAGAAATGAACCATTATGCCTTGTTCAAGTGTTTCGTGTTTCTAAAGAACTGTGGCAGTGGAGATGTCCTTCTGAAGATTGTTAAAGTGGAGCAAGCAGAAATGCCAGAAGCCAAAAATGTAATAACTGTCCTTGAGGAATTCATGAGAGAAACAGCAGTAGCCTAAAAATCTTAATTTTTGTACTTGCTTTGTGCTATTGTATAAATAATTAATTCCTTCTTTGCAGATCAGAATTCACTATTGCAGAAACTTAAATTATATTTGAAAGCATTCAGTCATTTCAAACTTATTTCACATCTGAGTCTTTTTAGAAAAAGCAGCATGAGATTTGCTTCAATTTTTGAATATAGTGTTTTATACAAATCCAGACATTCTTTTTTCAACACTTACCAGATTCTGCAACTGATCCTCCTTTTTTGGGGACCACACCATTTTGTTTTTTACTGTCATGTCATAAGAAAAACTTTCACCTGAATGGCAGTGATAGTTTTTAAGCATTTAGAAAATGTTTAATGCATAAGAACTAGTAGAGAGGATCATGACTAAACATTGAGATCAGATTTATTTAAACAAAAAAGTCATATAAAGAACTACAAACATTTGGATAAATTGCATATAGTAAATGAATTAAACATATTAAATTCAGAGAATTTTCTCAGGCAACAAGGCCTATGTTCTTGTCATTTGTTTTCACAAACTTAATTCTAAAGTAGAAAATCTGTACTTCTGTGACCAGATTCTCTCTTTGATTATGCTTACCGAACTGATTTATTTGAAACTGAAAATCTGTAAAACAACCTAACTTTGTTGTCAGGTCTCAGATATATCTATTTCATTTTGAAAATGCATCATTGTACTCCAGCAATGAACTCTCTCTCTCACATGGGAAATACATTTTCTAAACCATAAGTAATTTAGACAGCAGAATATATACACCACTTTGGATGCAGTAGGAGCCAAAACTAATGGGACCTTTATCAAGATTACACAGAGGAGGACTGCAGGAATAGTCCTTATGTAGGCAAAACTCACATTTGTTTCAATTGATCAGTTAGGGAATGCAACCTTTGTACGTAGTGTGTTTTATCATAACTTGACACTTAATGAACTATCCTATTATGAAGAGGTCTCCCTCACTAACTTTATTTGTAATGATATTACTGAACCAGTAGTGTGACTGCTGTTCGTTTTGTGAGTGCTGTACATCAAAGTTAAAAGGTACATGCTTTCTTGTGATATAATCATATCTAATAAAATAAATTAACAATCTTGATGGTATAGTTTACTTTTTAATTCCAAGTAAGTATTTTCAATGAATGAATGAATCTGTTTAGGCTCTATAGCTTATATTATTCTCCTAGCAATATCTGGAGGAGTTACAGGTATAGTACCCTCATATGGATGGGAGAATGGATGTGCATTGGCAGAGAGGAAAATAAAAGTAGCCTAAAAAAATAAAACCTGTTACCACATCACATCATAGGCTGCATGCAGGATCACTGAGGACTAAACAGTTTCCTTCAGCAAGTTTGATTCATCAGTCAGTAAGCCAATACTAGCAGCACTCAATAACCTATGTTGCTTTCTATCACTTCCATACATTTTTTACTACTTTGGAAAACCGTTCCTTTAATGTTCTAACTGGTTCAGGTGCAAGGGATCTCTCCATGCTAAGAAATATATGAGCATCATGAAGACTGGGTTGCTGATTAATGTCTTCATATCAAGCATTACTAAGGATAAGATTTTGTCATGGATGTCAGATTCTCTGACTTTCAGAGACCTCCGTGACATTTTCTGCTTCAGCCCCAGGGTTGCCGGGCCGGAGTTGTCAGCTGGCAGGAGCCCTGAAGCTCCGAGCCACCACAGGCGGTGTGGACACAGGAGCTCCAATCTGCCATAGGCAGCGAGGGCCCCGGAACTCCAAGCGGCTGGTCCCAGAGCTGTCAGGCTCTGTGGGTGGTGGGGTCCCCGGAGTTCCAAGCCACTGCGGGCAGTAGGGACCTCGCATCTCTCAGCTGCTGCGGGCGGTGGGTGCTGGAGAAAAAACTCCCATCCTCTGGGCTCGGGCTCTCACCCCAGCCTCAGGCTTCAGTCATTCCCCTGTCAGTCCTGCCCACCATTATTTTTAGTAAAAGTCACAGACAGGTCATGGGCTTCCATGAATTTTTGTTTATTGCCAGCGACCTGTCGGTTATTTTTAGTAAAAATAACTGACAAAATCTTAACCTTAAGCATTACAATCTGCAAGGCAAGAATCTCTAATTGCCAGGGGATGACTGTGGTGATGTGAGAAATGAGGCTGCTCCTCACCCACTTTGGATGGAGCGGTTGGCTGAGGGCCCCCAGTGGTAATGTGTATTGCTTGCGGTCAAGGCTGGCCTCAAAATACCCAGTCTAGTAATGGGCAGGTCATTTTGAAGCTCTAGAATAGAGGTGTTACTGGAATATTAGCAGACTACATCTGTTGGAGGGAATATACTTTCTCCTTTGTGATACAATGACAATCTGCATTCTGGCTTCTGAGTTACCTTCAGGGCATCTTTAATGGATAGTGTCATCTGCATATTTGCTGCCATACTCATAGTTTTGTACCAGCCTTGTAAAGTTAAGAGAGTTTTCTAGCTCTAGTATCTGAGCCAGGCCAACCTATCCAGGCCAGTCATTGGGGTGATCACTGTTAGACAATCCTGTACTGGCGAGAATCACCTGGCACATTCTTCTTTTTGGAGAAAAATTATTCATGTGGTCCTAACAAGTTCATACTTACCCATATTTAATATATATAGTACGTCACACACTGTAGTTATAAAGCCCAGCTTTTTTAGCCTTTGCTTGTGAGACTTCGATCTCTTCCACTTGCATAGGCCTTTCTTCCCTGAGCAGCTGCTTACCTCAATTTCAGTCTTATTAAGTTTGTGTCCCATCACATGTGGGTTCCAGCCTGGAACTGTCAAACTTTGCATGCCTGGTAGATTTTCTCTTCATTATCTATCTGTTCCTGCTTTCAGCCCTTTCTAGGCTCAATTTTCCCAAGATCTGCACTTTGAAGGAACAAGGTGATTGGTATTTAAAAAAAAAAAAAATCCTCCATGTTGCTATATACTTGATACACTTATTTTAGGCCAGTTGCGTTCCTATCAGCTGTGCAGTGACTTAATTATTCAGGTGTATGACTAACAGAAAGAGTTCAAACTTCTTGAAAGTGCCCTTGCACAAAACTGGGCCTTTAGGGTAGTGGGGCTGGCGAGCCATAGCATTTTACTGGACTTTTTCCTTTTGTAAATTCTCCTGTTAAAAAGTAAAGAATTTAAATTCAATAAATAATGCAGGAGAACCTGGCTAAGCTCATTGCAAAATACTGAATACTTTTTCAACAATAAAATACTATTCAAAGCAGATGGTGAAATGAAACAAAGGACAAGCCATGCTGTACCGTACTCTAATAGTTAATGGAATTGGAGATAAACCTGAACTGGGTTTGCAAGAGTTTTACAGTGGACTGGGAGTCAGGACTCCTGAGTTCTCTCTCTGCCTCTACTACAAGCATGTTGGGAGATCTTGAAACCTCTGTGGATTGGTTTGCCTATCTACAATTATTTGGAGCCCCATAGGCATGAATGGTGTTCTACAAAAACAGACAACATGGTCACTGCATAAAGGCACTGACCATCTAAAACAAACACTACTTACCTACTTCTCAGAAGCGTTGCTAGGCTTCATAAATTGTTTAAAGAGCTACAAGAGTCTCTGATGAAAGATGCTCTAAGTGCAAATCACTAAAAATAACAGGCGAGTTTAACACTCATGCAGTAGCTGTCAACTGTCACTTGTTATGTTTTAGTTACAAGAGATGTCAAAACTGCTCAAAGGAGTGGCCATGAGTTATGTTTAATTTCTTAGTGATATTTTAACCCAACTATTCTTAATGTCAACTTGCAGAGGAATTTTTTTAAATCGGGATTGTGCCCCTTTTTTGCTCCCTTACGATGTACAAAGCAGGCTGATTTTTTAAATTTTGTTTTTGTTTTGTATCTGAGCAATTTCAGGAATATCAGTTGTGGTCTTTCCTTGTTTTGCTGGGGGACTGTTAGCTCCATTTGTTAATTCAAGCGGGTGTCAAAGGGTGTCAAATCTATAACAAAGACATATTTTCTCCTAAGTGTTCATTAGACATTGGTGGGTAAATATATTTTAACAAAAAAATAACCAAAATAAAGCCTGGTTAGAACAGACTGGTTAAAAATCCCCTTCTTCTCAACCTTTCGGCTGCTGTCTCTTGTGATGACATAATTTCACTAGTGTTCCAGTTATCAGGAAGTGGACAAGACCTGAATTTTTAAAGTTAAAAAACAAAAAAACAAACAAAAATCAGACAATACCACTTTCTTCATACCTTATACAGAAACAGAAAGGGGCAGAAACCTATTTTTTTTCCTTTACCACACACTTTAAACAAAATACAAAAATAAGTAATTGATCTCAATAGTCAATGATGAAATAGAAAAGTTGAAATCAAATCACTCATGTCAAAACATTCTTGTTAATTTTTTAATTGTAGATGTACTTATAAAACACAATCCCTCTTTGCAAGTTGGTGTTTTTTGTTGTTTTTGGCATGTTACATTAACAAGCTCAATCTTTAAAAAAAAAAAAGCCCCCCAAATCTTTAATGGAAGCTGTGCTCAAATAATATTTGTTACAACAAAAATATACAGAATGTACACAATACAAAAATATTTGGAAACAGATATCACAACGTGTTACCTTGCAAATATTGTTTTGTTCTCCTAGCCCTTGATGGTGAAGCATCCATCGTTCAGCATTTTTAAGGCAGAATTATATGGTTTGGTGCTCTGTGATTAACACTTGGAGGAGGCATTAGTATTGATAATGAAAGCAAAAGAAAATCAAGCTGCATAAATCTAGCTTTATTTGCAAACTAAACAGACTCTGTGGGGGAGTCAGGATACATTTGGTGACTAATGTGTCTACTAAACTCATTGGAAATTAATGTGTTTTTGCTGCATAAATCAGGCCTGTGGAATTTTTCACGGGTTGTAAAGTGCTCAGCAATGTAAATTTGCTGTACTATGTTCTGGCATTTTAAAGAACCTCATTAGGGAGCTTCTTCCTATTAAAAGCCAAAGATTAATGATGACATTAATAATACATTTACCTTGAAAACAGTTGTTTTTTGTTTCACACATGATTTATTCTTTTAGTGAACAGCTGAATATATTGCCTTCATCTTCAACCAGTTCTCGGTGTCTGTGCTGTGAAGTGTTGAGCTGCAGGAGTTGTTAAGCAGCAGCACCTAGTACCCTAAGGCTGTCACTTTTTAAAAGAAAAAGAATTACAATAATAAGAGAGAGACTAAAACCAGAACCCCAAATCTACTGGCCTTTGGCTTGCTAGATCTGAACCTGCCTACGTGGGGTCAGATCTGGTTACAGTTCAGGTAAAACCAAAGAGTGGGATATTCAAAAACTCTTAAGTAAGTTAGGAGCTCAAGTCCCATGAAAATCAATATGATTTGTGCTCCTAACTTACGTGCTTTTGAAAATCCA